GTATACTGTGTAATACTCGCAACACAGCATAAAGCACGTGTTTCTGAAGAAGATATGAAATAAGTCTCTATGCATAGAAAAACAAAGGTGTTAAGATGTTTGCATGCAATATTATACGTACCAGCCCAAAAAGGAGGTACACCACTTAGCAATATGTAGAGTATGACCCCTGCTGTCCAAACATCTGCTTCTGGACCATAATGCTTCAAAAGCACCTCAGGAGCAACATAATACGGGCTTCCAACGACATCAGTAAATATTTGGCCTGATACAGCAACAAAAGCATGCTATTAAAACAGATTTCAACATAAAGAGTTGGGTATTTTTGGTAATTTTGGTGGCATTAATTAGAATACTGAAGACAGGAGGCAGCCTTCAAAAATGATTAAAGCAGGTGAGTGAATAATAATGAATGCAAGTATGTAACACATGTGGCTAGATAATCTAGTGCCTGAAAGTAAATAAATAAGGAGGATACAAAAGCAGTACCTGGTTTGAAAAAGACAGAGAGTCCAAAATCAATTGCTTTGAGAGAGAAATCATCATCCTTGTTAACCAATAAGAAATTCTCTGGTTTGAGATCTCTATGCATAACCCCAAGGGAGTGGCATGCCTCAACAACTCCAACAATTATCTTAGTCAATTCAGCAGCCTTTCTCTCACTATAATGCCCTCGGTGAATAATGCGGTCAAACAACTCTCCACCACTACAGAGTTCCATCACAATATGAACATATAAAGGGTCTTCATATGCCCCCTTGATAGTAACTATGTTCTTGTGACCAGCCAAATGGTGCATTATCTGAATTTCCCTTTGCACATCCTCTACATCTTCTTTGGAGATCAACTTTCTTTTTGAAATAGACTTACAAGCATAGTCAACACCAGTGGAAATCTCAGTGCAGAGATAAGTGGTGCCAAATTGACCTTGACCCAACTTACGGCCCAGTGTGTAAAGATCACGGATGTTAGCGGTCTTGTGACCTAGGACGTGATAGGCCTGGTTATTGGTGGAACGATACATGTTTTCCTTTTTGGGATAAAGTATAGGGATGCGTTGGTCGTCTTTGTTGGGGTTGGGGTTGGGGTTGGGGTGGGTATCCTTGGGGCTCAGCCTAGTAGGGGAGGAGAAATTATCAGAGTAAGAGTTAGAACGGGCGGAAGAAGGGTTACAGTTAGAAATGGAATGATCTTCGGGCTGTGTGTAGCCCTGAAAATGCTTGCTTCCGAAAGATCCACGGCATGTGTTGCCCATGAAACAATCACAAGTCCCCCTCTCAGCTCAGCAACTTCACAACTGGCAATTCTTTCGTCATCCAAGGTTTTGTATGAGAAGAATGAATAATTAAGCTGAAAAGGGAAATGAGGAAATCAGAAAATCCCAACTTTGATTACGTAGCATGAGCAACGACAGATCGGAAGAATAAATATTGAGGTCTAGCCGTCAGCAAAAAGAAATCAACAAGGAAGGGATAGGTTATAGGTATATGCATGACAATAACAGAAAGGGAAAATACGAAACTTGGGAGCGGGGAAACAGATAAGCGGATCTAATGTTAATTAAGAAAAGAAGGGGAACGTACCGGGGGGGATGGAAGGATCAAATCTCTGAGCATAGAGTTCTGTTATGTGATGATCGCGCTGGAGACTGACGACGGCGAGACGGCGAGACGACGACAAGCATGGCGAGGAGGAGGAGAGTAAATGGATGATATTTCAAAATTTCACAATTAATTAATCAAGTAATTAGTTGTGAATTTATTTATAATTAGAGGCAACCAGAGGTGGAGGGTGCTGCTGCCCAGAAACATCGCCAGCAGGACATTTTATACGACCCGTCTCAGTGCTGACCAGCTATGCTTATAATAATAATAAGAGTTAATACACAAAATGGTCCTCTACTATTAGCTAATACTCGATTTTATCCCGAAGAATTAAATGTACTCAATTTAGTCCTCTTAGTTTTCAAAAGGTACCCAATGTGCTCTGTCTTTACAATTACCATCAATCTACCGTTAAAGTGAGGACAAAAATGTCATTTTGATTTCTAAAACCGGTTTCTTCATTAATGATTCGTCGGATCAGAGAAGGGTGATGTTTCTTCCTCAAAACGACAACGTACTGGTCCTCGGAGAGGAGCATGGCGGACTGGAATGCGATGTACGATGATTGATTCCTCCATTGATCTGTTTCATCGGGGGCTGTGTACGATGACTAGAATACGAAAAAATGAGAAGGGCGAGAAAGGGCGGAGAAGAGCATGGCATGGAGACAGATCTGAAAGGAACATGCGATGTACAGACCTCCGCCGCTGGAGTCTGAAGTCGCAAGGTGGTGGAGCACCTCCGCCGGAATCCAGCCCGCATCCATCGTTCTCCGCACCTCAGCCCCACCGTCAGCAGTAGCTGGTGACCGTTCTTGCCGTCGACGAAGTAGCTTAGACCAACAGATCAACGAGCTCCATTGGCAACCACGAGCAGCAGCAGCAGCAGGGACGTGGTGAGTTCCGGCGGTGACAACGGGTTCAGCGTCAGCGAGCAGCTTCTCTCTGACCCTTGGCGACGTACGAAGATCCGGCATCCCCTGTAGCGAAGTAGAGCGATGGCAGCTTCCTCTAACAAGCCTTGGCTTTCCGGTAGCAAGAAACAGGTTGAGGAAGAAACGTTGAGATTGCAGGCGAATCCTTGAGGAAGAAACGGGTATTAGAAATCAAAATGATTTTTTTGCCCCTCATTTTAACTGTGGTTGGAAGGGATTTGTAACGGTAGATCACATTGGGTACCGTTTGAAAACTAAGAGGACTAAATTGACTACATTTAATTCTTTGGGACAAAATCGAGTATTAGCTAATAGTTAGAGGACCATTTTGGGTATTAACTCTAATAATAATAATAGTTGGAGGACCATTTTGGGTATTAACTCTAATAATAATAATATTATGCCCGTATGGACAGCTCAACTGGTAACAGAGATAAAAGTTGATAAGAATAATCAGGGATCGAGTCTCACCCGTGGCAGATTGGGAGCAACTTTTCAAAAGTGAAGAGTTTCCTTGTGCGGCAGTCTAGCCTCTATGGTTCATGTTCAGTTGAGTTACTATGATGCTCTGTCGGACCCGGATGTGGGGGGCCCATAAAAAAATGTACATTCAAAAATATTTAGAAATCTACTTAAATACATACATATACTTATGCACCATATTAATAATACAAAATTAAAATACTATGAATATAATTATCTTAATTATAAATCTGACAATATAAATTATAATTAAGAGAATTATACTATAAAATTTTTCTAAATACATATTAATAAATATTATGTGCTCAAGCATTATACAATCATATTAGGAAATACATTCAATTATGATCTAAACCTATTCATATAAAATTAACCACATGAAAAGTCACAAGTTTGAATCTTAGTGTGAGTTTGACTCTTTGTGCTTCATTAGGTTGAGAAAGTATGTATGAACAGATACTACATTGTAACAGAGTCAATAATACTCAATTTACCTCTTTGTATTTCTGAATATAATTCTCTTAATTATTATTCATTTTATTGAAATTATAATACATATGAGATACAATTATGAATAATTAATTTAATTATGTAAATTTCGTTTATAAGTGTATTTGAATATGTACATTATTAAATCTTATATTAATCATTCAAAATTTTAAATTTAATTTTGTATGTTATGAACATACATACCTCGCCAAATATATGAAAAATCTAATTATATTATTATATATTATATATTTTAATTTCTTTTCATTTTTAAATTTTTTATGTAAATTCATGATAATATAATTTATTCTGTACATCGCACGGGTAAAAACTAAATAGTACTAAACCAATTAAGGGAAATAATAAAAATTAGTGTAAAAATAACAACAAATAAACCAAATAAACCATGAAGTCATTATTTAATAGAAAAAATCATTATTATCAACAATGTTATGTTAACATTATGGATATTTTGAGATAATAGGTAGCAAAATAAGTGTAAAATAACTTTTAAGATACCCTTTTATAATGGGGTTTAAAATCTCATGAAAACACACATCACAAAAAAATAAAAAACAAATCTATATATATATATATATATATATATATATATATATATATATATATATATATATATATGTCGAATGGATCAGGTAAATTTAAAAAAATATATATAATAGTATTTTCGTAATTATCATAAATTTTATGTTGTAACTTAGAACATTATATTATGCACTTTTTTTTTTTTGAAAATTTAAATTATGCACTTTGTAACAATTAAATGTGCATTTTGATAACCAAGACTATGTGGTTGGTACCTGGATTAGACTTCCATTTGAAAGGTTGTAACTTCGAGTCTCAAAAGCGTGATACTACATTGTAATAGAGTCGTGTATTTTGATATAACTTTCTAAAAAAATCAATAATAATTAAATTTTAAATGAATTAAATTGACTTAAGGATCGCTGCCTAGTGCCTAACCTCACCACTTGGTGGGGGGCATGCTATATCAATACTTTCTCTTGCATCTAGGTTAGTTTTGCAATTCCTTTAAAGGCAAATTAAAGTCCTTGCTAACCTGGAATCTAAAATTAAAATTTTCGCTTAAAATAAGCATATCAATTAATTTGATTTATTTGATCAAATTGTTTAACTTAATTAAATAATTAATATAAGTATTTAATTAATTAATTTTTTTTGTAACAATTTATTACTCTAAAATATTAAAATTCAAAAAATTACTCAAAGTTATTTTTTCGATTAACTTTTTAATAAAGTTATTTTATATGTAATTAACTAATAGCTCATTTATCAAACACTTTTCTACACTTAGCTAATGCTATTAACTAATCAAACTCACTAACCCAATCAACTAAAAACTATTTACCAAACACCTTTATGTTTTAATTTATTGGATCCGTATATGTTGGTTGACCAACATAAACCATAAGAAGACAAGTATAAACTATGAGAAAATTGCTCAGTGAATCGAAAGATGCAAATCCTTTACAAGCCCTTGACTGCACCAAGACCGACCACTTGACAATACAGAATTTTGTTTTAACTTGGCAGTTGGCACCACCGATAAATGGCCAAGTGGCACAAGACAGGTGAAACTCAAGTCTCCAACCCACTCCCTTTAAGAGTTAAAGTTGATCACTATTTCCGCTACGGCTAAATGGCTAATGGAAATAAGTATCGTTTACATATGAAATAATGTTCAGGAAAAGTAGTATGCCCCAAGTACTGCCATAGTCGCTTAAAACAACAGCATAGTAATATTGGGGGATCAGAGCTATTTGCCTATTTCTCTAAGGTCTCATAACCAAGCTGCGCTGGAATTCATCACACCACTGATCACAAGCCTCTCCATATAACCGAACAAGATGGCACCCTTGTTCTTTAAGTTGGTTCTGTTGCACACAACCACTATCAAACGTGGATCCTGCCAAATGCTTCCCCCAAAAAAAAAAGGTTCCTGTTAAATGACAATTATTTTGTGGATTGTAAAAAGCATGGCCCCCACCCACCCTGTACTTCATGCAAATATTTTCTAAAAGCAATAATAACTCCTAGTTACTGAGAAAAGGAAAGTGTGGGAAATTTCAACAACCCAATTAGGCTCTTCATAATTAAATGCACTGCGGAATAGTTCAATGAGGATAAAAGCTTAGTACTTTTTCTTTTTGGACAGGAAATCAAGCAGTTTAAGATTTTTTTTTTCTTTATTTAAAAAATAAAACATAAACATAAACATAAATTCCCTTCAAAGCCATAGAAAGAGAGCAATAATCTCACCAACTTCATATTAGTTAATCGTGTTTAATTCCAAGCTGTTGAAGAGAGTTAGGACCAATAAGAAATACACGTCTTGAGGTCTGGTACCGGAAAACTACTACTCCTTTATATGCTGCCCTTGGAACACCATCCTGGTGAAATTCAAAGCAGAATGTGACTACCACAGATAAGTCCAATTTTTTTTTTTTAAGAGAAGACATGAGACATGGCACTGGTTCAGTTTAAATGGAACTGGTTACTGTACTAAACAGAATCTGGAACCACCAGTTCTGTTTGGTTCAGACAATGAAAAAAAATTACATATAATGGTTCAAACGGCTATCTGGGACTAATGGCTCCAACAGCTATATTAATTTTCTGGCCATCAAGGCCTGGCAAAATGCCATTGCAACATTGCTCTCTTGTTGTTATGGTTTCATAAATTCAGTTCCTCTAGAACCAACAACCAGAATGTCTGATTCAGAAATGGAACTGAATTAGCAACACAGTATATAATTGGAAAGTTCTTTCGGGGAATGCCCTCCACATCCAAAAATACACACAATAAAAAAAAAAAATTTAAAAAAAAAGGTAAAATAGAAACACACATAAGCGTTCACACTGATGTTCTAACATTAGAATAAGTTTGACCTGTTGTGAGGTGCAACTTTCAAACAACTGTCTGGTCCCTCATAGAATGTTAAACCTAGGAAGGGTAGAAGGCACTACTATAAATAAATGCCTTCACAGTGTCATGTGATGTTGAAATCACCTTAGAAATATAATATGTTCTTTCTTATACTTATATCTGGTGCAAAGAGTTCTTCAAGACCCTTGTAAAAGGCCCGGAAGTGTGGTTTTAAAGTCACTTCATGTTCAGGTTTATTCAAGTGGTTGCAGCTAAATATCTACTTATCAATCTGTTCAATGAAAAATGAAGAATTGTCCCATCCCACATAGAATGTGAGATCTAGGAAGGATAGCATAGCTCTATAATATATTATATATGAATGCTTCCAGTCCCTTAAAAACACCTTAAAAATATAGTCTGTTTTTATACATGCCTCTAGTGTGAGGGCTCTTCTAGTCCCTTCAATTAAGTGTCAACCCTAGTTAGGAAATACAGTTTTGAAGTTGCTTCATGTTAAGGGCAGCTTTTATTAAAGGAAGCGCAGCTAGAAAACAGTTCTGCTAGTTTAAAGCCCTATATTATATATTCACAGGATTGCTACTCCAAGGGCCCAAGCAGTACAAAGTATAGATTCCAATATGTTTAAAGATGCCACAGAGTATTACACCCACTGACAAAATCAGTCAGTAAAATTTGAAACCTTAGCAGACCTTTTCAACATTGTACCAAAACAAAATACAAAAGACCATAAAATTAAAAGGCTAGAAGTAAGATTGCTTTTACCTTCCACTCTTCAAAAATGCCAAACTGACGTGCAATTTCTTCAAAATGTAGCTGATCTCTGTACTGTATACGCACATCACCATTGATATTATTTGCTTTCAAAACGGTATCGGCTCCATATATTGGTTTAGCTTTATTAACAATTTCAGCAAAATATTTCAGATAATTGTCCTGAGAACAAAAACTATAAGTTACCACCAAAAAGGGGTTAGATCAGAAACAGAGGCAAAATGCTAAAGCATTAAGTTCTTTCCTTTTTGGTACAAAAACTGAAAACTTGATAATGTTTTTTTTTTTTTTTTAATTATTAAAGACCACAATTCTCACCTCCATGAGGTAGTTCAAATCCATTGATTTCCAGTCAATCTTCCAACAAAAATTAAATAAAAATGTTAACATAGAAAAAAGTATTAGGTAATAATAACATATTGGAAACTAGTAGAAACATGCCTGGACATCATTTAGCTTAATTGGTGCAAGAAATCGATTGAAAAACTGACCCAAACTAGAACCCTGCAAGATAAACCATCAAGTATGTGCCCGCAAAGTTAAAAGACAAAAATGTTAAGATTGTGCCTTTTTGTAAGTGTATAACCTAAAGGTTTTCAGTCAAATTATGATACATTTATTTCCTCAAAACCCACAGTAATTAGATGTAACAGATAGTTTGATGATATTTGTCTAGAACATCATGGAATTAAATGAAAACTTATATTGAACTGTGAGGAGCATAATTTAGCTCTTGTAAAGGGATGGTTTTGTCCACCCCTCTTCCTTCCCATTTTGCACCATTTTCTCTTTGGGTTGGCAATAAAGTAACACCCAAGCACCTCCAATTTTGGAGGGCTTGGGTTTCCTTAAAACGATGAAGCAGAATCTCCACCTCTTCCAATGGTTATTTTATGGGAAGAAACAAACATGGAACTATGGAAGAGTGAATGTGATGATTCTAGAACCTTTACACCTTACTGTTTTAGCTATAGCTTTTAGCAGCAGTGCACCACCACCATTGTGCCTACAATAGAGTAATCTCTTGGGTTCAAGGTTTAGCCTGGAGGTAAGCTACACCCTTTCCCAAGTACTAGAGCTGGTTTCAAATCCCATCACCCAGCATCCCCCATCAGATGTGCCGTATAAGAAAAAGAAAATAAAGTCACCTCTAGTTATTAACAGTTACAATTGGAAGTGAGACTGTGTTTATAGAACTTTAAAGTTAGGGAATATCAAGGTGCAAAATCTAGAATATGACTACTTTTGACTTACATGCTCCCCAAAATTGTATGTTCTGCAAACTTCTGGGCGAACAAATTGGCGACCTTTGTGGTTCTCTTTCAGTCTCAACCAATCATCCCAATAAGTGAAAGTTAGGTCAAAGAAAATGCTTTTGAAAGATTTCGATGAAAAAAAAAAATAATAATAATAATAATAATAACAATAACAATAACAATAACAATAATAACAAATGTTTCATCCCAAGAAGGATATGCCTTTGGCCATTTTGGAGATAATTCATTCCATGTAGACTTTGACAGCATCCATCCAAGACCAGGGAAAAAATCTGAACGGAAAAGTGCATCTGCAGGGCATACCAGTTAAGATCAGAAATAGCTGCAGAATTCCCCATTTACTAATGTATTAGGAAATGTCCACTCATTGAAAATCATTCACTGAAAATAATGGCATTAATGTCAAAGCAGAAGCATATATTAATAGAAATGAGCCATTTTAAGACATATTTGAACACCTCAACAGCCCTACCACCCAACATAGGAATGTTTTCACTTGAAACTTATTACACATATATAGCACTGCAACAAAAGCAAACATTTTCACTTGGAACTTAAGAGACTGGCCACTGGGCACTGGCACATTCAAACAAAAAGAAAAGAAGATGAGAATTTTGCGGACATATGATGAACAGAAACTCTTGAGAGGTAGCGTTTCCCTGTTTTAGAAACATTTCCACATCCATAACTCCCCTGAAACTTGCCTGGAAACTTTTTTGTGCTTCATAATAAAGCAAAAGTTTCCGTACCAATGTTTAACTTAAAGTCCTAACTTCGTTGACTCTATTTTCTTCTCATCTCTTCACTATAAGCTATTATACTACTTCCAATTAGATGATTACAGCAAAGTGGCAAATCCGTGAGGTAACAACAAAGACAAGGCTATAGCTCAGTTTTTTTTACTAAGCACTATTTGTTTATTTAAAAAGTTTGAAATTAATATATGAAAATTAATTGATTAAGAAGTCAAAAGCATATGTATTTAGGCATGAAGTGTCGTAGCTTATATGTATACATTTTTCAAGGAATACCTCTGAATATTATAATGAAAAAAAAAATAAAAAAAATGTGGGATGTTGGAGGAGATGACTTCGCAAGTATAAAAGATGTTGGTATTCTTTAGTGTGCCAACCTATCTTTAGGTGAGCTTGAGCTAGAGACAGTATTTTTTTAAATGAAGATGCTAATGAAAACATGGGCAACTATTAAGTTTAAGAATATTTTCAAATTTGGACATTGTATTCCTTATTTCAAATGGACTTTATAGTATTTAACTATTTATCAGTGATTTAGTCATTTAGTGCATTACTTTTATTTATTAGTGCATTACATCTAATTGTGAAACTAGTAGATAACTAATATTTATACATACTCCCTATATTTTTTTTTTATATTTGCATCTTTCCAGCCTATGTTTCATTTTCTACATTTTTTTAAATTGTTGTTTTTCCGTTTTCTATTTCCATGCTACATAGCTACAAACCTACAGGCACAATGATGAAAGCTGCAATAAAAGATGGTTACGCTCTGAAGATAACAAAGAAACATATTTGATGTGGGAAATAGGTTGTGAAGAACATGAAAACTTGAGGAAATTCAATTTGCCTTATGCAAAGCAACATGTGAAGACAAATCCTAGTCACATGAAAATGAAGAAAGGAAGAACATCCAAACAAATGCCTCCAATCCCAAGCAGAAGGAAGAAAAACTTACAAGGATCTTTAACAAACTGTTTTTGTCCATTGTCATTCCAAGAAGAAATAGCCATAATAGACCTAAATCATCCCCAGCAATGAATTACAAAAGCACAGTGAGAAATTTGAATCTTGATTTGAATACTCAAAAAGAGAATGATTAAGAAGCAGACAAAATGTCCTACTTATCTCTGTCAAGAAGAGTAGCTCCAGCCTCAAAATAGTCAAAAAAATCAGTGGCAATTTCCATATCATCTGCATGCAATGAGCATGTATACCCACTAAATGTAAGAGCAAAGAAATTTTCATAAATTGATAAGACAGATTATAGTACCTTCCAGTATGATAACACGGCTAAAATTATGCTTGTAAAATAGTTGATCCAATGCCCATTTGTAATGACCTAAGCAAACACCAATAACTTAATGACTAACTTTTTTTTAGGGGGGGGTGGGGTGGTGTTTGGGGGACTTTATTTGCAATAAGAATGAGAAAAGCTCTCACGTGCAATCTTGTAATATGCAATAATTTCCCCTGGTCTCTCTGTATGCACAGGTTCATAATCCAAATGCTGTGTCAAAGAATAGTGAGCTGTTTCATTCCTTTTAGCAAGAATAATATAAGAGATCATTCAAATTACAAAAATGGGCAGGAAACACCGTGCATGGAGATAAATAATAGTAATTCCACAATAAGTATACAATATTATTTGTTTTTCATTATGGGCAAAGACTTAATGGATCAGTAAAGCCGTGATGTACCTAGCTATGTGTGCTATGCCAAAAAAATGTTCAAACTAAATAGCAATAATAATATATTTAGGTTATATAACAATAATACTCATATATGTTTACAATGGCAATCAGATTATTTCTATAACAATGATGTTGAAGTTATATTACAATAAAATTTATATCTTATAATTTGCACATTACTGTAACAGGATTTGAGCATTATTATTATAAAATGTAGCATGCAGCTAGCCACACCGTGACATACCTAATAACGATTCTCATTGCTAAAATTAGAAATTCCTCCCATGAGTGATTATCATATTATAATTGCAATCCTCAAGTTGTAAAAGCATTAATAAAGCCAAAGATTTGTCTATGCATTTTACGGTTTTTACTTAGCTAGATTAGGATGTGCATTTTACGGTTTTTACTTAGCTAGATTAGGATGTGCCTATTTGGATTTCTGTAGAGAATCCCTAGAACAAGTCCCCCTTTTATCGCTTTACAAAGGAGCATAGACCATTACCTGCATATACGTCAATTGATCATAGCTCAAAGCCAAGGTTTTAACATCAGGATGTGAACCATCCTGCAAATAGGCGGGGAATATAGAGTTGGTGATGTAAAATTAAGCTTGTATAAGAAAATTGGTTGAATAATAATCTCCACCATATATCAATGATTACCTGGGATATGAAAAGAGGAAATTTTGATGCAACAGAAGTCTGATGTCTGGTGTTCAAGAAGAAGTCAATACATATATCAGTTGAAAGCATCCACATCTTAGTTAAGACCACTTGCAAAATTCTAATATCAACATACTTTAGAATAGACTGAATTGTCCTTTTAAGGTAATCAGCACGATTACAAGCCATAACAACAACAGCTGCCACTGGAACCTGGCTAATTTAGTCATTAGGCAAGGTATGAAATTTAAAATTATTGCTGTTAAAATGCTAGATAATAAAAATTTAAATGAATGGTAAATGGGACTCTTCAATTTTATGTAACCTGGGTACTGCTGATCAACTTCTGCAGGCCCTTACCTGCCACATGAGAAACACACACATTCAGGATATGGCGCTTAATCCTAAAAGAGACTATGCAGTAGACATGGAACCATGTTCTTAACTTTTTCTTTAATTTCTAACTTCTAATTTAACTGTTAAAATTGTATTTCAAGGATAGGTATCGATAAAACAAATATTTCTTGTCAAGGGGGCTGGGGTGAAGAAACAATATAAGGAAAGAATCACTAGTCTTTTTTGTGCAAGAACATACTCTCAAGATCTTGAACAAGTGCTCTTAGGTGTTGGCACTCTTGATATCGACGCTTCATTTCCTCTGCAAATATTAGGATGGAGTTATGGGTACGGAAATTAGTTACTAATCATACACGATATCTATAAAAAAGGAATCAGGGAATGTAAGAAAATGTTTTGAAATTAAATACAAGGTTTGTTATCTATATAATCTCTGTTGCTCAGCATGGAGTCAGAAGATAGAATTGCACGAAATCTGCTTATTGATGAGGATTTTTTTTTTTTTTCCTTCTTTTTGATAAGTATGCTAAGAGAATGAAATTTTTTACCAAATTACAATTTTTCAAGTTTCTTATTGGTACTATTTGAAAAAACAATAAGGACTAAGGAGAGAGATATCAAGAGAGAAATATTGAAACTCCCCCACCCTCAAGGAAAAATAAGGAGTCATCTCTTTCAATTTATCATTATTAAATGACTAAAATGAGTTAAGAATCCAATTTATTGCAGCAAACTTCCAAAAACATGCATACTTGACGCATTAATGATCACAACATTAGGAAGTAAATGATCAAAGTGTGTGTGCAGAGGAGAATATGCACCTTCAAGGGCCGTAATTCGTCCTTGCTGCAGACTAATCTGGTCAATGAAAGAGCGTGTCTGACTTGTACAATGGTTTTCTGCTTCTATCTATGCAAAACCATGTTTATCAACATTAGGAACTAAAACTAAATCTTAAATCATTATGGATATATGAGATTTCACACATATTTGAAAGGGGAGTAAGAGCAGGGAAGACATACTGCAGCTGCAAGGCGATCAGCATATTCAGATTGTGTAGCAAAAAGCCGCATCTATGGGAGGAGGAAATAAGTGAATTATACACATACAAGAAATGAAGCTGAGAAATAGAGCAAAAAGAAATGAATAATGACACATTACGACATAGTGAACTCGTTTTGGATGATAAGACGTCGAGAATGAAAGCATGGAATAGTAGAAGTAATAGTACCAGCGGAAAGGGGAGTTTAGGGCTGAGAAGAAAGGAAAAAAAAAAGAAAAAAAGAAACGATACCTGGATGTAGATGAAGGCCAAGGCAGCAACAAGGAGAAGGTACCGGAAATCACATGACCACTTGAAGCTGTTGGTTCTCATTGTAACAGATCGATGTGTTGCTTTTTCCGATCCGACTGTTGTTGGTGTTTTCCCCTTTAGTTTACCTGGACACAGGACAGGCTCCGACTCCAAGTCCCCCGCCAACCTTTTCTTATTTTTTCCGCCACTACATTTATCCTCTCTTACACAATGACCTTCAACATTTTTTCCAATTGCGTACAATAATATTTTCGCAAAAATTCCTCCTTAATTTTAAATTTGAATATTCGAGTACAATAACATATATCATATTATATTAACCATCAAAATCAATAAATGTGACTAAGATGTAATTTCATCAGTTAAGTCTCTTGCCCAATATATAATTTCTCCCACTCTCTTAAAAATAAATTTATTTGAATTATTAAATTACATGTTATCCATATTGATTAAATGATGAATTAACAAAATTTTAAAAAAATGATTAATTGTGACAAACAAATGAAAGAATGATAGAATGTGACAAAATTTAAAAAGCATGTCTAAATGTGATATTATCACAATAGTTGATAACTTAAAACGAAATGTACCTTTTTAAAAATAATTAATCATATGATAAAAGTGTCAAATTGATTATCTAACTCCACATAATAATATAATTAAGTAATTTAATTGAAGGGGGGGAAAAACTTCAATAAGGTATCTTAAATTGATAAAATAGAGCAATTAGATCATAATTTTACCTATTCAACATATTATTGATAATGGCTATGTTTGGCAAACATAGTTGAAAGCTGAAAAGCTATAAGTTACGAGCTGAAAATATACTTGAAAGTGTTTGGTAAAAATTAATTTTTTGATAAATTGGTAAATGTAAAAAGACAAAAAAAAAATATATCTGCATAAAATTTAAATTAGTTTGTTTACATATTAAAATTTAACATTTTGTCTTAAAAAAAATATTTTGAAATAAAACTATTAGCATAATTATAATCTATCATCACATAATGAAGTAGCAATATTGTTGCAAATCCCATTAATCTCATAATATCTCATAATAACAACAACAACAACAACAACAATAATAATAATAATAATAATAATAATTGCGGTGTAAGTTGCAGATAAAAGAGAAGATAAAAGGGTTTTAATTGGAAAGGATAAATGATGTCATTTATTTAAAATAATAAGGACAACGATGAAAAAAAAAGTTAAGAAGCTAGTAGCGTTCCAAAATAAGCTCATATTTTAAACTACAAGCTTATTGACTAATTGTTCTAACTAGGGGTGTAAATGAGCCGAGCCGCTCGTGAATCGCTCGTGAGCGGTTCGGTCAACGCTCGGCTCGAACTCGGTCAAAATCGAGCTCGGCTCGCTCGAGTAGCTCGTGGATTAAACGAGCACGAACCGAGCTTAGGTATTGTAGGCTCGCGGCTCGACGAGCCTTATAATATATTATATAATATATAATATAATTATATTATATTTAGTATATAAAAATAATAATTAGGGGAGGGAAATTAAAATTTTAAACCATTAAAAGTCAAAAGTCCTAAACTTCCTAAAGAATAAAGATTTATAATCTCGCTTCTCCCAAAATTTCAAACTGCCGCGACTCAACTCAAAGTCTCGCCTCTCAGACTTCATCGACGGCAAACAGACAGAGAGACTTCAAAGTAATTTGTTGCGAACTAATTTTGAGTGCTTTGATTTGAAATTTGTATTATTTATGTATGGATAAAAGTCATAAAACAGAGTAGTTTAAATTTTAAATCAAACAGGTCAAATTCGAGATCAAAATTAACTCGAGCTCGAACAATCGAGCTGCTCAAGCTCAAACAATCGCAAACACATCTTTTGGTAGTGTTGGCCTGTCGTGCGGTCATCGAGGTTGTGAAGACCAACAACAATCAATATAATATTATATAATTAATGATTATTTTTATTAAAAGCTATTGACTATATTATATTGTAATATCTGTTTATCTATACTTTCTCAACCTGTTGCAGCACAAAGAGACAACACCACCTCCACTGAGGCTCAATCTCATGACCTCCCATATGGGAGAGTCACTACCGTTATTTTTATTAATTTGTTTACCTTTTTATATTATCTATATATTCTATACATACATACATACATATATATATATATATATATATATATATATATATATATATATATATATATATATATATATATATATATATGTGTGTGTGTGTGTGTGTGTGTGTGTGTGTGTGTGTGTGTGTGTGTGTGTGTGTGTGTGTGTGTGTGTGTATTCTACTAAAAATAGAACAAAATGTCTTATTTTTTCGATCAAAGATACCTTCTAAAACGCGAAAGTTGTAACAAAACTTAAAATCTGTATTTGAATGGTTTGACTATCAATAATAAATATATAGTAATTAATAATTAGTTGGGAATTGGTTTGGCTGTTACAATCTCCCATATTGAATTGGAGAAATAAATTGTATTGGGAAGGTGTAAATTCAAATTCAAAATCAAGCTTACAAATAATTAACTTTTAGAATCCTTTTCTAATATAAATATTTGCACTTATAAAAATCAAGAGGAACTCACTCGAAATACAAATAAACACTTCCAGGCTAAAAGAATCCATAAATTATAAATTGTTGAGTTGTAGTTGGATGATGTACATCAATGGCTTACATAGTGCCCCATAGGTTTTCGAATGATATGTATAGTTTAGAGAGCATAATGGGGGATTTGTCGGCAACAAATTGAAGGAACCCAGCCAACCTCCCCCGTCTCCCCTTGTCACGACACCAACGTCGACGCTCGTCGAACCTCCATCACGTAGTGCCACGGATCCCTTTCGTCGTCGATTGGAGCTTGAGGAGTAGCGGAAACCCATCGCCGACGTAGCCTGAAGAAGAAGAGGAAGCATCGACGTTGCTGGGAAAACCCAGCCTCGCCTCGCCGTCTCTTCTGGTGCAACGCCAACTTCGCCGCCGTCCTCTATAGTCGCGATGCATCTCTGGTTCACAACCCTCTTCGAACGCCTGACTTAATGGTGTCACAACGGCGGCTGCTGCGCCCACTTAATGGTGTCACAACGGCAACTGCTGCGCCCACAGGACTACAATTGGCAATCGTCCACGACTGCCACGCCGAAGCTGACTGCGCCTGACACCGGTCACTCGGTGTCTCAATCGGATGCCCAGGACTCGAACCAGTGATTTTTCTTCCTCCACTAATCTTGGGATCCTTACGTAGCCGTTAACATCGTTTATTCCGGATTCTAACCAAAAAGGTCTCGACATCAATGCACTTACGGTGGATCTGAAAAGGAAAACATTCGTATGTGTAAGACAGGTGAGTTGTACGCCTGTTTTTAAAGAAAATGACTGTGTTATCACTTGTATATTCTGACATATATAATTTGCACATGAATCTGTATATCTACTGGCTTTTTTTTTTTTTTTTTTTTTTTTTTGTAGAATTTTTAAAATAAAAATTTAATTTTATAATGCATGCAATATTGTTGTGTCTATATACTGAATTGCTAATTTTTCAAAATATGGTATGATACTGTAGCATATTATATGTTATTGTTATCTTAATTTTTCCCACTGTTATTGGAAGATGTTGAAGCCATAATTTTAGTTTTTGTTAAACTCCTTTGTATAAAACATTCCTGACTTCATTTGTGGAGTAGTCTTGTGTTATAGCTGCTTTTTAATATCAAGCAATCCATGAACTGAATGTATTCTTCCAGTTTAGTACATGCTTGAAACTTTTAAGATCATAAAATTTCTCAATTAATACATGGTGTTCAAGAGTTCTCTTTTATTCAACTTTCAATAGATAGATTTTTTTATTATTTATTTATTTATTTTTGTGTTCGGACTTTCTATAGTTCAATGCACAGATTTATTATTTTTCTAATATACATCAGAATGTGTTACTTTGTGATGTTTTTTTTAAAGGTTGTGCTGTTTATTTATTTCTTCTGTATACAACAGGGTGAAGTTGATTGCCCTTTCTACTTAACAATGGGAAGGTAGGTCCATTTGTGTGTGGGCAAGTCTTCTTTTGGGTTTACATACTAAATGTGGTTATACACTATTTTTTTGCTTGAAATAGTTGCATGGAGGGAGCCACTTGGCACTGCAATCATCTAGTTGGATATGGTGAGTTAATCTATTTTGAATTTACATGTATTTTCAAGTATGCATGGCTCTTTGAGGTGCTTTTTGAGGTAATTTTATATTCTTTCTTCATTATTGCTTCTTTTTTATATTATTATCCCATTGCTAGTTTGTTTTATACTCAACACTCAATTTCTTATTTGTTTATTTGTTTATTATTATTATTATTTTAAATTCTTTTTGAGGTAATTTTATATTCTTTCTTCATTATTGCTTCTTTTTTATATTATTATCCCATTGCTAGTTTGTTTTATACTCAACACTCAATTTCTTATTTGTTTATTATTATTATTATTATTTTAAATTTTTATATTTTAGTTTCTTGCTTGTAAAACTCCTAAACTTGTCTGATTTTTATCCCCTTGTTTGTGACCCATGTTCTCCATCATTAGTTTACATCTTTTTTACTTACAAAGACGGATTGTTAAAGGCGACCTACTACAATAAGGAAAAAGGCCCAAGATGACCTACTACAATAATTCCAATCGCGACCTACCAACAGGCCAATCCTTTTCCTAATGAAAAAGGCCCAAGATGATCTCACGGCCCACAACCATACTGCCTCCATATTTCCATAATCTAACAACTGTATTGAAATCTCAGCGCAAATCATTCTCTAACAATTCTTCCTACCCAACAAGTATATCCTCCACACATTCAGCCAACCTAAATTTCGCCCAAAACAAAGTTCCAATACCCCCTTATATTTCTTAACATAGATACAGTCCAAACACCTCAGCCCATTAGCCAATATTCAACTATTTCAATTTTTATGTTGTGAAATCGGGTCCACCTTGTAGGATGAATACGGTTCCATGTTCATAATTACTGAACTTTATGTTCATAATTATAGAACACTATATTCATAATTTTTGAATTTTATATTCACAATTATTTAATAGGCCCAAGACTAAAGAATGAAAATAAATAAAATAAAGAAAGCCCATTCGCACAACATTTTTAGTGTACCTAACTAGACTCTCAACCCACGGCCTATACTTGTACTA